AAAACAAAGCCAGCGGCATTGCCGTTTATAAAGCCATCTGTTCACGATTCCTCTCTCTGTTTATTACGGAGATCGCGACAAATAGGGAAAACTGGTTCTTGACGAGAAACCAGCGTCTAACACTGGCGCTGATTAAATAATAAAAAATATGGGGAAGGGGAAAAGAAAAATATTAATAAAACCTGTACGGAAAAGGCGACGGAAGAAAAAAAATCATCCACAATATTTGGCGGTGCTGGGAACGCTGGCTCCTCTCGTCTGCCTGTGACCAGTGATGCAGCAGAAGCGGCTCCCGCTCGCTCCTTCTCCTCTCCGAGACTCTTTAAGAACATTGGCTGGAAAATGCTTTTCTTAGAGCGGTTCCAGTTTCTTCATCCATCGCGTCCAGCGCTGGGGAGAGATTAATATGTTCGGCTGAGCTCGAGGCGCTGCGGCTGCTATATCCGAGCTGGGCTTTGGCTTGGGCTTGGGCTGGTTTGTTTTTTTGGCCGCAAAACTGGCTGATGGCACAACTGCAACATAAAGGTTAAATATGGCACAGGAAAAAAAAAAAAAAAAGCAGGAAAAAAAAAAACGGAGGAGGGAGGAAGAGATTAGAGAAAAGAACCTAATAGAAATCAGCAGAGGTTCCTTTTAGCAAAGAGGTCCCGTCTTTGATCTCTGCTGGGTCTAACAGATCTGCAGTTGAGAGAGAGAGAAAGGAAAGGAGGAGGGAGAGAAGGGGAAGGGGGGAGAGCTCTTTGGCAGGTGCAGAGTGAAAACCTCTTTCAGCTACACTGAATGCTGGGGACTGGTTGGACTAGTAGCTCTGCAGCTCCAGCTTCCAGTGGGTGTGTTAAATATTATGAGCAAGCCATGATTCCAGCCTTCCAGACGTCACAGCTAGGAGATTGGCTAAATAAACGCTACAGTGATAGTAACAGGAAAACCTCAACCAAAAGCGGTTTTTTTTTTTTTTCCCCTTCCCCTCCTCTCCTGCCTTCTTCCCTCCCCCCTTCCCCTTGTACTGCAGCTCCAACTGGGGCAAGGAGAGGGCGTCTGTTCCACAAAGGTTTGCAAAATAAAAAAATAAAACCAAAGTGGTAGCGGCGCGGGGAGGGGAGGGAAGGGAAAGGAGGGGGGGAAATCTGCACTAATAGCATTGCACAGTATTAGTGTGCTGTGTCTGGCCGGGCTCGGCGCGGCAGTTCTGCGCTGTCATTGTCTGGCTTTGCTGGTGTCCCGTCACCTTCAGACCCTCACCCGAGCAAGGTCAAAGCGGGAGGCCGCGGCCTCCTTCCTCCTGAGGAGCAGTCTTCTATTCGGTTATTTATTTAATAAATTATTTATTTTTGTTTCTTTTCCATTGGAGCTCCTGTGGGCTGTGATAAGCCTTAAACGCACTGCAGGGTAATCCCGGCAGCCGCCCAGGCAGCTTGGTGGCCACATTAGCCTAATAACAAGGGCAACTCAGAGGTGTCAGGGCCGGGGCAGCTCCGGGAGCCCCTCGAGGGCTGTCAGGGGTTGTCTCAGCTTTACATGGGTCCAGGGGAACGGACAAGTCCCTGCAGTGGCTCCAGACTCCTGGTCTCTGGCTGGGGGGAATGCCAGGGGGCATGGTTTTGTCTTAGGGATCAGGGCTCCTCTTTGCTTTCTCACACTGCATGGGCAAGAGGATACGGAATGGCCTTCCGCCCACCCCCTGCCACCTTGGCACGCCACGGACTTACAGCTCATCATGCTGGCTCATTTTTCCATGGCTTAAGCAACATGAAAGCCCTGCTTCCCCCCTAGGGCTCTTTCTAGCACTATTTCCTCACCAGGCGCCTTTTACCCTTCCCGAAACACATCTGTGCACCCTCTAGCCTCACTGTGTTTTGCACAAGGGAATTTCCTGCTTTTCTGGGGAAAAACATACTTAGAACCTAAAGGTCTTACAGGCCATGATCCTATCTAGTGCCTTGTGTTGCTGTGCCTTTGTGGGGGAACCAAACACCTGCTTGCTGTCTGGAGGGACTCTTTCCAGCTCGCTCCAGGGATAAAGCACTCTGATTCCCACAGAAGCCATTGTGTCACCCTAGCACCTTTGCATATCGACATACTTTATTTCAGAATATTTCAGAATATTTCAGAATATTTAAGGTTGGAAGGGACCTCTACAGATCATCTAGTCCAACCTTCCTGCTCAAGCAGGCACACCTAGAGCATGTGGCACAGGGCGGCATCCAGGCGGGTTTTGAAGACCTCCA